TTTCCCATTAAAATTTTGTTAATTAAGCCACGTATATATCCAGCGTTCTTCTTATCTAATTATCGTATCGTAATTGCACTTTAGGTTTCACGAAAAGAGTTCATTCTGAAATCTTAATTGACAACCCTGTCCGGAATCCGCGGCGCAGTTCTTAAAACGTCTTCCTTGAAGGAAACATTTAAAGTACGATAGAGAGAAGTTTGAGTAATACCAGAAAGTTACGGAAGCTCTCCTACAACCAGAGTTGCCTAAGGCGGAACGAAGTTATTGCATAACTTAAAATCTCACTCCTTAATAATGAGAGGCTTCGCGCATAGTATCCTTTGAGACTAGTATTGAGAATTCGACACGATGCGTATGTTGCTTTTCAAGTCTCTATTCGTTATATTAATTCGATTATTTTTATAGGATTTTATCTGGATCATGAGATGAATAAAGAGATGATTTCGAGAAGAATATATTCTGTAATTGTATCAACGATAATAATTTCAAACGTTAAAATTACCTCGATTAATATCTGCCAATTCAAAATGAGAATTAAATCAAGAGTTTTACAAAAAATCATATAAATCGAAATATCGATCTTGAATTCTATTGAAATTGGAATTATCGCTATAACGGGTCATTCTACTTGTAATGTCATAATTTGACGAATGAGAATCTCGAATTAACGTAGGAAATATTAAAAACCAGCGGTAATTTTATTACCTCTAAAATGATAATTGATCACTTATACATCTGTCTCTGTCAGACGCTCCTTTTCTGTCAATCCCCGCCGACTCATTCCATTAAGACAGTTTAAAAACTATACTGAACAGTTTAAGAACGATATTGAAGATAATGATATTTCTATACTCGCGCTAAAACCGATTTATCTTTCGTAGTCATTTATTTATATTTAGACATTTTTTCTTGTTTAGAGATAATAAAAGATAAATAAAGATTGATAAAACGTAATTATAAATTACTTAGAATCATAATTGATACAAAAATACACAGTAATACCGTTATACATATGAGAATAAAAAATATAAAGACATTAAATATTGAGATATTAGCAGAAAAATGAGAGATAAGAGAGATAATTTAGAGTTTAAATTGTAAATAATTGTAAAAAAAACTCGAAAACTTGTGTAATTGCGGAATAAATATAAAAAGATATTTTGCGCGAGACTTTCTTTCCTGGCGAGCAAACAATATTGTAAAAATTACATTTTACATTTAGATAATTAAAGGCAAAGCAATAGAAATCGACATCACGATAAGAAAGATTTTCTTATAACGCGCGTTGATGCAGTTTTAAAACTTTAAAGCACTTCCGACATCTGCCTTTAAAATGCAGTTCGTATGACGGAATGCAAACGTAACACGGTCGGCACGCAACTGCGCGGTTTATGCAAGCGCCTTTTCTGCTAAAAATTTCGCGCAATTATACCCGCGCATTTAAAAGCCGGCGAGACAAATATTTGCGGAACATTCGTACTGCTCCGAGCAAAATATTCGCCATGGGAAGACGTAATTAAAACGTGATGTAAATTCATGTGCATACCGTCGTTTATGCTGCAAAAACAACGGAAACAATTTATCGTCCATGCGAGCAGTATGGACTGCCGTAAATTATCAAGAATAATTTATTATCGAGTTTGTGATACTAGCGTTTCGAGGCAATGACACGCATTGAACGTAATGCAAAGAGATGCAATTTGATAACAGTGTTAGAAAAATATGTAATTTCATTGTACATAATCAACTTCATTGTTGATATGGTTTATTGTTCACACGATTATTATTAAATTTATATTTATCGTTTTAAATTAATTTCATATTCATACAATTCGGGCTTCTACTAATCGCATTTCACCAATATATTATATTATCGCGTAGTGCTGTCGTTTTAATTTATGCTTTAATTTTTACAAAAGAAGAGAAAGCGAGAGAAGGTCTGACGAATATCAGCAAACATCCAGGCAATTATGTATCTCATGCACGCAATTTGCCAATTCTCGAAAAGTATCGACAACATTAACTTGAGTTTACAGACGTTGACATTGAGATAGAAAGCAGGCTAAACAATTTACGGGCGATGGATACAAGCCGTGTTACACGAGCCGGTCCTAAACTATATCACCGGAATAATTCGGTATTGGATTTGCGATCGCGATATACCATTTGCGTCGGCAATATATACACAGGCGCATACAAATAACCGTCACATAAGCGTGACAGTTAATCGTAGGATTAGTCGCACAGGCATTTGCACTTCGCATCAAGCTACGCCCGATTAAAACAACTAAAAGCTGTTCCGGATATATAGCAACGCATTTACACAGGCTTTTGCATCTAAAAATTAATCAATTTCTTATATTTTACGTTCTTTCGCGACTAATTAAAAGCATTTTAAAGTAATGTCAAATTTTAGAAAGTTTAATTAAAATATCTATCATAATATAAATATTTTAATAATTTTAAAAATTAAGATAACAGATTTTTTAATGTACGTATATATTGATATATGTATATTGATAATAATAGTTTCATGCAATAAAATATTTTTACCAAAATTCTATTTTATCAAATTTGTATATTATAACATTTTTTCTTTTTAACAACATATTGTAAATATTTAACAATTTAATAATGATATTGGCGATTTGGTTTTTAATATTTCAATGTAAAAGCATTTTAATTACTCGAAAAAATTTAACCGTTAGAAGAAACTTCGTTATTTTGTCATTTAATGGCGAACCTATCGAATTTTGCGAATGTAGCACACGCGGCCAATTGAACACGCAAGACTTTAATTATAACAGGCAGAGACAAGATTCGATTAACACGCGCCGGGACGCGACTTGAATCGCGCCAATTACTTCATATTCGATTATTCGGCATGCTCCAAAGATACGCCATACGCAAATGAACGTGATTGAACGAAACATTCCGTTATCGTAGCACGTTTAACAATTTGATTATTGATTAACGATTGACTTCTATTATCGTAAAGTAACTTTGTAAAGTAATACAAGAGATAAGTATCGGAAGAAAGTTGTGCGAAATATAACGAAGTATTTGCGTTACCAATAATTATTCTTCCAAACAGAAATAATTTAATTTCACGATGAATAATTCCAAAGAAATTATTTATTTTTCTTTAACGCATTGAAAATTTGTCTAATGCATTATTTATTTTGATCTATCACGCAGACATATCAAATTCTTGATTTGTTTAAATGTTGATTTTTCTCTGAGGAGCGTAGACGGCATTTTGCTAATTAATGTTCGTGCTAGCACGAATTGAGGTTTTAATAAAGCCTACTGAACGGGGCTCAAATGGCTTACGGTTTATGAATAATGAATGACAAGTTACTACTCGCCCACTTCTTAATTGAGGATCCAATGGACGATCTCTACAGATTGCCGGATAATATTGCAGATTATAAAAAACCGGTCAGATTTCTAATTTATCTTATAATTAAGTAAAAGTAATCATAATAAAAAAAGTGCGCGGCCAAAGTTAAAGAATGCGATTTTCAACGTCAGTAAAATGTTGAGCTTAATTCTGTACGCCGCCGGCTAATTAGGTTATGCAAAACAGCTGTTACTCTACGGCCGCGTAATGCTTGCCGCTGGATTCGCTTTTCGCAGGACCAACGCGAAATTCCGGAAATTTTCAGGGAATTGCCGCCGGGGACTTTGATACATACTTCCGAGAACCATCAAAGAGTGTAATTTACTAACCATGCAGCTATGCGAAATCGTACTCATCACGATGTTGCTGATCACGAATTTACATTTTGATTGGTATTTCGGTAACGTGTAAAATATAATTTTGATAACTAAGTAATATGATATTATCGCGGATACTATTTTGCAATCAATATCAAATAAAACCGTTTGTCAAATTAATAGAATGATACAAAAACCAGATTTTTTTTTAAGAATTAATAATTTTTTTCAAGTCACGCATATTATTTAACATATGTTTTTAAGTTAAATTATATTATTTTTGTAAATTCTTTAACCATCGAAACCCTCCATCTAATGCCTCGAATGCGAGCGAGAAAGCAGGGCTTCAAGTTTAGAAAGTAAACATTGCTTGAAATATTCCTGTTTCGATAAGAGAAGAGATGTTGCACCACAAAACACAATCTGTTTGAGTAATAAAACGTTCGAATAACAGAACATTCAGATATTAAAATATAAAATGGAGATTCTCGAATAACGGTGATTTGAATTGCAATCGATGCTTTTATTACCATATACGCGTTATGAAATCTTTTTTCAAATATAGGGCAAAGATAATTCGACAAAAAATAAAATTTCAAAAAAAAATCGCTTGCTCTATAACTATTATACACGATTAAAATCTCGCATATGCTCTACCAACACAGCAATTCACACGCAACGAATTTAACTGTATCGTATCGCGATGCCGTGCGCGAAGAAGTATTTTTATCGGCGTTATTAAATCGCTCGCCACAAAATTTATTTGCATGAGAAATAAATCGTCATTCAATGTAATTCATCAAACCGACTGTTCATAAAGCAACGCGCATATGTACGTACGCATCGTTTATTGTGTTTCACATTCACATATATAATCCCTGGGGCGCGGTTACATCGACAAAATACTCGAGTGTGCTTTTGTTTTTGATTGCTTGTCTCGCTACTCGACTGTCAAGCATCTGTTTCCAAAAAAAAAAATGCATTTCCGGGAATCTAATAAATCATTTTTATTGATAGTCAAAAATGTTGCTTTTAATAGCATGTATATACTTGATGTTCTTATATAACCCTTCCTATATACATATATAAAATTTAATTTCTGTAGAAGTCGAAAGCACACTTGATAAATACTTCATCGAGAGCAATATTTGTAATATTTGTTCGCATCGTAATAACAATTTCCAACAAGCGATTGCAGCCATAATGTATTGCACATTATGATTGGAATAATAGAAAAAGATTTAAAGCAATTTTAAGATGCATGCAAATAGACTTACCCTTCATGCCGAGTGATGATTGCACCTTTCGTCGATGCTCCTTTTATAATTTATTTTTCACACAAGCACTGCGCTGTCCACGTGCCCAAGAGGTGATTTCGAGATACCGATGCACGTAATTTTACTTTTAACATGAAAGATGCGGAGAAAGGCGAACGACGCAAACCACGAGCTTCACAAACATATTTCGGCACTTTCTGCAAACAAAATAATATAGATTATGATTAGAAAAAGTATTGTAATGCAATAAAATAAACATACTACTATTAAAGCGCAAATTCAGGAACTGTAATATGTTTTATTACAATTTTATTGTTATAATGTTTGAGTTGAATAGCATTTAAACTCAGCAAAACAAAACAATGCAATAATAAATTTCAAAATTATTAATGTACATTTATAATTTAATAATATTTAATAACGTATACATTGTGCATGTACGTTTTACTACTTATTGTTAGAACAATAGTTCTCTACTTTAATTTTCGAAATTCCATTTAGATTTCTTTATAGTCTACTTAAAATCTATATCGTTTCCACGTTTGACATCAACGCGATCCACGTTACTAAAATTACAAACTTTTCTAGATGTCAGATCGCAATCATATTGATATATATAAGGTAAAATTGCAAGAGAGAACGTGGTCTCTTGTGATATGTGCGTGTCGTATCGTAGCGTGGAAATCGGGGTTAAAGCGATAAGCACTGCTTCAGAAATAGTAGACTTGGTAATATTTAATCGCGAATGAAATGACATGTATGCATTTATATATTATACAATAAAATATAGAAAATTTTCAGATATTATTGTATCTCCAAAATTAAAAGATCATTTTTTCAAATATCTATATGCATCGATTATGTGTGTATACAAATAAAAATAATCGGTGTTGTAAAAATTTCTTCCAAAGTAGCACTATTTAGTTTATCTTACAATCTAAAGAAGAGAATAATCGTCTAATTATTTTAAATGTTATATAAAGTGTTTTATGACTCCGTAAAGTAGCATAGAGACATCCTATACAGATGATATACTCGTAAATATCAGGATTTCGATTCATCTAATTACCAATCTAAGTCGGGGAGTTTATTCGATTTTTCCGACAGCCAAGAGGCTCGTAAAAATTTTACTCTTTGTCCGCAGAGGGCAAAATTTCCCCCTCGGGAGTCGGCAGCGTGTGCCACTGATAAGTAGGCAGAGGAAGAGAACTCCATCGAGATTCTCCCTTTGTTTTCCTTTTTCGGCGGTGCTTCGTGAAATTTACGAGGATTACGTCGAGTCATTTTCGAGTTTTCCGCCGGGATGTAAAGCCGCCTCGTAAATTGGGATACTGTCCTCGAATTCCGCTTTCCGAAAAGCAATGGCGAAGGTAAAATCTAACGCGGCCGAGCAGCTTTACAGAAGAGCGTTATCGAATTTAGCGCGGCCCTTACCCCTTTATAAGGCACAAAGGAAGAGAATCGTAAAGAAAAATACCTGTAATATCCTGACGATGATATCGTAAATTTTCTTTAACGTTCGTTTATATGGTCGCGTTTATGTATATTCGTATATTCATCGACAATGCAAAGTGCATTGTAAACGAATCTGACGGCTACTCGCCACGCATGCAGCCCGTATACATAAAACAGAATGTGTAAACTTTTTTCAAGTTTACATCCGCAAACGTCGGCACGTTCTGTGTTGTAGAGGGTGGAGGGACGGCTTGTTATGAGGATCGCAGACGGCGAAGTTCGGTTGCATCGCTTCTGTCGTGCTGTCGTGGCGTATTTACGGGTTTGCCGAAGAAATTTTGTCGCGCAGAACATAACGGCGAAAACTGCGAGGTAAGCTAGATTCCGCAATCGAACGGCAAAAAAAAATGAGATGAAAACTGGCCAATACGCGATATTCTACTACGGGATATAACGCGCAGGCTCCGATAATAGGAACAACGAGGGCTGGATAAGAAGAGATAAACGAAGAAAGAGAAAAAAGAAGACATCGAGGAAGAGATCGTGCGAGACTCCATAAGAGACGCGTTTATAAACTCGGCACGGAACAGCGTTATCGTACAATAGACAAGACAACGGTCAAGGCATGGAAAAGTCGTGCGACGATGTGAGTTCACGGAAAACGGGTTGGCAAATTTATAGAACATGGCGGCTTCTCCCAAAGTTGGAGATTTATCGGACTGATAGTTACAAGAGCGAAACGGCGACGACGCCGGTGCACGCGCTCGAAAACTTCTACTCCCCACCTCTCGTAAAAATATTTTCATCCGGGAGACGGAGCAAAGCACGAGCAAAAGTACCGGAATGAAAAAGGAACGATCCCAAGCAAGACAGAGACGTCGATGTTGCGGTCAAGACGTCGAAAAGTTGACAGACGAGAGTTTGCCGACGTGAGATTTATGGATTATCGCTCGAGCGTTCGAGATTTATCGAGCAAACCAAATGCGGAGTTGTTGAGGAGAAGTTTTCGTCAAGAACGAAACTGCACGCTCGACGAAAACACTTTAGATGTGAGAAGAATTAAAAAAAAAAAAAATATCGCAGCACCTTTCGTCTGACGTAAGCACAATTTTGCGCGAAGGAGAAGCTGTAATAAGTAGTAAACGGCGCTTCGACATGTAACCGCGATGCTACTTCAAAGAGAGATCAAGCCTCCGCGAATCAAGGAAAGTCGAAAGGATTTATGCGCACGCGGTAGCAAAGAAGTTTTACGTACTAAAAAGGGGGGAAGAAAAAATTCGACAAATATTTTCAAACCAGAACCCAGACTCGCAATCATATTTTTCTTGTCAAAGATTTTCTTTGCAGATAATGTAGTTTGTAAAATATAAGAAAAAGAAATAAGGAACTTGAGTTCTACATGAATAAAAATCGTCTTCTAGAGAATTGTGTCTTACTTGAACATCTTATATTTAGAAAATCCCTCTAAAAAATAAGATACAAATCAACAAAATATAACAACATATTTGATTAATATTTACCAAATTTTTGTATTTAAAAAAAATCTCCTTCGATGAAGATTTGAAGAATCTTCTCTCTGCGTTTATGAGAGCGTCGCGAACTCAGATGTAATGATATAAGGATGTATTTTCAAGTGTACATAGAATGATTTCTAGAAACGGCAGAGAAGAAATTTTCACGACGAAAGTGCAAAAGTTCGAAACTTATCGAACCGATAGTAAAAGAATCAACGTGGCTGATCCCAGAAAAGTATTTCACACACACACACAGCATACAATAACTTCTCTTACTCTTCTTGCTGCCATGAATATTTTCAAATGGAAGTACAGGAAAGAAGAAAGAGAAACAAAAGAAGACCGATACAAGAGAAGCGCAAGACAAATAATAAAATTGAAGAGAAAAAGCAAATTGATGGTGAAACAAATGGCTAAGCTTATTGTAGATAAAATTTTCATGTACAAGATAGTACGTTCTTTTTCACTCTGATAGAGATAACATACGAAGAGAGAGAAATAATACTGTATATAAAAACATATACAGTGTGTACAAATAGTATTTGCTTAAAAATATAATGTTTGCCCATTTTTATTATTAAATATATGATAAAAATATTCTAAAGAGAGGTACATTTTTTAAATATATTAATTCGAATAACCTTGTGTCATTTATACACTTGTGAATATAACACTGCAAAATTTTATTATAAAAAATATTAATATAATATATATGAAAATACTCATAATGCACGTGAAAGCAATACTTTATCAAAAAATAAAAAAATAGTTAAAATAAACAAGTAAATTTTTAATATTAATCAAGTTTGACGTGAATAAATCGATCTTGCCGTCTATCGCGCAACACATCGCCGGATCGTTACTTTCCAACAACAATAATGACAGATATAAGCAATGCAAGAGCGGAAGAAATGAAAGGCTTGATGGAAGAGAATGCGAAAATGCGCGCGGAAGAATGGCGGAGCCGGAGCAACACAACGGCGAGGATGCGGAAGCAGATCCGTTCGGGAAGAAGGAATAAAGGGATCAATGCGGGATCGTAGATTGCGAGAATTTCCGGTTTCCTCGCATCCGCGATACTTATCGCGCTGCGCGAATACGTACGGCATCGCGAAATCAACGTTCGCCGAATGTCACACAAATTCCCGAGACTTTCCGCCGAGCAATCAAACTCGTTGAAAAGTCGCGCGCAGGCATCTCTTCGTTCCGGATTTATGGATATGGTTGATGTGCATAGGCAGATCAAGCCCTTGACAAGGCGCTCGAAGAGCGTAAAAAAGCGTATATATAAAGTATGTATAAAGTGTATATATTAAAATAATCTTTAGATTCAAATCATTTTAGATTAATCTTTTTATATATTAGAGTATAAATCTAAAATTGGTCTGGTCAAATTAATGATTGTCAAGCCCTTTTTAGAAACGTGAACAAATGCAAAATACAAAAATAAAAATATTAAAAGTATATTAAAAATATATAATAATAAAGACTATTGTTTCTTACATCTTTTAATTAATTATGTATTTGTAAAAATCGTAAAATTCACCTAGAGAGAGATTCACCTATGCATGTTGTGTTACATCTATATTGCACTATACGTTCTCGTTCAAGAAGAAGGAGGGAACGTGGCTTTCTTAAATTCTGCCGAACACGAAGTCTCTCCGAGCGGAAAAGCAAAGGAAATAAAAATTTATACGTGTTCGTACATTGGTTTCTCGAATAAGTATGTACATTCAGTGCCGCAAAACTAAAAGTTTACGATACGATCCGTCTTTGCGAAGAATATTCTCGCTTAATCTTTCCGTATAGTTCCATTAAGAGAAAGTATATTGTTGACTAAACTCCTGATTTTTCATAACGTCCTAAACTCTAAATAATTAATCTAATTAAATGATAATTCTAAAATACATTATTTTTAACACATGCACAAAAATTACCCTCGATGATTCTCGATGACCCAGGATGTTCCGCGTTAGAATTCTTCGGAGATATCGCACTTCGATCGATGCTGCTAATATCGAATAGCATGTCACTGAAATTCGCAAAACCAACGCGAGCACGTCAAATTGTTCGAAAGATTCGCAGAATCCGTTCCCCAACTTAATATTCTCACAACTTTCTCTCGCGCTTGCGATTTCCAAGGATATGGAAAAAACGCACTGGAACTTCTAAGAGTCTCTCAATTATCCCATGTACCTTATCGATTTTATCGCGTCGCGAGATGCTCGCAAGAATCGAGAAGAGACCTTTCGCAAAAAATATTATCCCAAGACGTACCGAGTTATCCTTTATCACCGTGCATTATCCTTCACTATCTATTAACGGGATATCGAGAATCGCCCTCTCTCGAGACGCGCCAACATCCACGCACCTCTTTAATTCTTTCTGACGACGTTCTCTCTTGCTGTTTTATTCCGATCACGCTCTCACGCTCTCATTCGATCTCTTAGCCCTCCCTCCGTACGACGTACAGTTGCTACGTGAAAAGTAATAGGGATGTATTAATAAAATGGTCGCCCTTAATAACCATCGATTTCAATAACAATCGCGAACTACGTCGACAGCAAGTTTATTATTAAAGATAGAGAACGCCTCGAAATGCAACGCTCATCCTCGCCGATCGTGTATGATTATATTTCCGATATGCTCCGATGCAAAAAATATCGACGATAAAAAATGTTCACGAAAATTCTCTCTCCGATGCAGGTAAACTTGGTGGAACATGTGGCATACACAAGTATTGGATATTATTTAAACAAATAATCATATGAAAATTTCACGAGTCACATAAAATGAAAATATATTTATGATTATTATATATTCATATACAGATCAAAATAAATGATTATCTTTTATATAATTTATATCCATGGATATCTCTAAATGTTTATACATTTAATTATTTTTGACAAAGGGTTGTATTAATCATCAGTTGAAAACAAAGAAAATACTTATAATTAATGATTTCAATTCGCAAATATATTCAAAAATACATAAATATTTAAAACCATTATCTGTTATTTGCAAATATATTTTGACCAATATTAATATCATGAAAATTAATAATTAAAAATTAAAATGCATTTTGCGCAAAGCACTATGAATGAATGTTCATATTATATAGCGTAACAATGTAAATAAAGCATAATACTGAAATATTGTATCCATTCAAATCCACCTATTTCTGCGGATTAATAATGAAAATTGTTAATCGGACATGATACTAAACGGCAAGAGATGATATTAACGATAATATATAAAAAAAATGTAATTAATGTAAAATAGCGGCCACACATATTTTCCTTTTAAATCCAATTTGCAAAATTGTCGATGGAATTGACAAACGGGAATGACAATGATAAATAAAATGTCTGAATAATCTTGATCGCCCTACATCTTCCATATTCAAAAGTTTAATATTCAATATTCAGATTGATGGCGCGAGAATACGGCTGATACATTATCTTGGAACACACACGAGAATTACGACTATTTTCAGCAACGAGAAGCAAGGTGTTCTCGAAACGATTCAGAGTTCAAAGAAAACTTCTCGTCGATTTCACGGAGATCCCTCTTTGATCGACGGCAGACAAGTGGACTCGTATTGCCGTCTGAAAGAAATGCCAGACTTGATAAAGACAAACGTACCGTCCCCGATCGACACATTTGCGTGCATGTACTTTGTTTGCATATATGATACAAGTCGATCAATCGCGTTTACTTTTCCGGAACGCATAGAACACGTGATGGATGCCTGATATTAATCATACACGAAATAGAATTAAAATGAGAATAATTTGAACGCGATCTAATTATGTATTAAAATAAAATATTGTGCGATATAAACACGAAAAAATTTTCTTTAACACAATACACACGATCGTATATCACATAATATTAAAATAAATATATTAAGAAACACGCGATACACACACATTTATTCTTCTAAAAATAAAAAATAGTAAAATACTTGTGTAATCATTCAAGGAAAAGCTTTTACGCATATGACTATAATGTGCCTTTGAATTCCGCGAATTTAAGCGTGAATACGTTAATACGTCCATCAAGCATAAATGGTAACTTCTCGCATCCTCTCCCATTAATACGGTCTTTATACGTTCGCGATGAATAGAGCATCCGAAGTGTGTGTCGCGTAAACGCTCGAAAATTACGAAAAACGTTTAACGAGCTTTCAAATTTTATCGCGCAACTAACAGCCGGACAGCTTCACCGTTCTCAATAAATCATTAACGATTCCTTAATAGCGGCGCGTTTTATCGCGCGACAGCATATATCGCGCCGTCGCCGTAAACCGTGACTCGCGCTACTAAAAAGATCCTCTCTTTAGGAACGGATTATCGCTCCTATCCTCCGAGAATATCCCGGGCGGACGTCGCTACTCGAAGTGGATCGAAGGATTCGCGCTTGCGGCAGGATGAACGAGACTTTGCACGGAGACGAGCGATCTGACCCGGCACGTATCCTGTTACCCGAGGTATATCTCTCCAGAGATTACTCCCTAGAAACGAGCGCGGAAATATCCTGGATGCTCCCGTCGGAAATACAGTCGCGCGATCCTAAAACAAGAATATATAGCGCGTGTTTGAAACATCCGTCAGGTCCTTCGGACCGCGACGTCACACTCGGAAGCGAGAGATCCTTCGAGACCGCATAAGGAGCCGTACTGCTATTTTTCAGAAGAGATTAAAATGTAGAGGGAACGAGACAGCTCTACGATACGTC